AAAATAAAATAAAATAATAATAATAATAATAATAATAAAATATATAAAATATACAGAGTTGAATATGTGCAAAACAAGTGGCATTTATATACAGTGTGGAGTGCATAATGTTGATTTTCTGAAATATTCACACCAGTATATCTTGCACCAACAACCATGCTACCTTCAGAGTAATTTAAATCACCTTTCTTCCCTATTTTGATGCTCAGTTTGAATTTCAGCAGTTTACAGTCATGTCTGCATCACTAAATACATTTGGTTGCTGCCATCTGATTGGCTGATTAGATATTTACTTTAGCAAACCAGTTGAATAGACAAACCCAACAAAGTGGCCCTGAGTATATCAAGTAGTTCAAATTACCTTCACCTCTTTCTACAGTACAATGCTACTTGCACACTTTCTGTGCTGTCAGCCATCAGTAATATTAATTCACCAATATATTACTGCAATATTCACCAAAGTTTTCTAAACTGCTATTATCAGCTACTATCATATTTTTTACTTAAGCCAGTAAAACACTTTCCCCCTGTTCATGTATCCTCCGCAGACAGTACCTTTCCTTTCCTGAGGAGGCGTCTGATTTCCACTCTGTCCAGATGCCAGCCTGGGTTCACCCCACGGTTGTCATGGCCAATACGAATCTTCTCAATTACATCTCCGACATCTTCTAGCTGCACAGACAACAGAACACTTGGATAAACGGACAACTTTCACAAGTGCAGTTCATTGCTGTAAATGCAGAAACACGCTCATGACTTTGCTGTTCTAGTCCCCAAAGCAGGATGAATGTATTTATTGCTTCCCTTATTTAACTTACCTCAACAATAAACATGTCCTCAGCTCCTCTCTCAAAGTACATTCTCCTCTCCCTCTTGTTGACACACAGGGACTTCTGCTGGGTGCACACTGCATCTCGGCCGTACAGGATGATGAAGACGTCTGCGTCTGTACCGGCTCCAAACACGTCACTTGTGAAGATTTTGATCTCATAAGGAACGACTATAAAATGGAATAATAACCAATTAAGTTACACTTTTAATACAGTTAGAATATGGTGCACTTTTCTGACTTACATGGTGTGTAAAACTCTGTTTGAAGAGGATTAGGGAAAAGCTCCCTGACGATGGCTCCATCATCCTCTCCTCTGTCCAGCCAGCGTCCGCAGGGGAAGTGTAGTTTCTGTCCCAGAGATGGAGCATCAATCTCCACCCAGTCAAGAAACCAGCCTGCTGACCCTCCCCCTTAAACATTAACAGAAAAGACTGTGATCATTTAAGTAGATGTAGTCGGAGTATTTCTGCATTATTCTCAGCACAGGCAGCCAGTCGGTCCTAATGTACCATTGTTGTCATGTCCAATACGCAGCTTTTTCAGGGGTCCGAGGTCCACGGCCTCCACAGTGAACACATCAATCATACCTCGCTCAAACTTGTTCTTATGGGTCTTTGAAGCCTTCAGGTTAATAATTCCTGTGGATACAGAACAGACTAATTATCATTTTAAACACAGAAAGCAGGCAAAAAGCGCAGCAGTCACTTCCAAAGCTACCTGTGTCATCCTTGGTGCCATACAGGATCATAAAGACGTTAGCGTCTGTTCCTCCGTACTTCTTGTCACCAGTTTTTATCCTCACTGTGTATGTTGTTGACATGGCTGCAGGAAGAAGTTACCACATTTAATAATCTCTGTGTTATATTTCTCAGAAAAACTCAAAAAAAGCTCGATATCTGACATCGGTCAGACAATTCTTTCTTCGTACGCAGTAACGTTGCTCTCACCTTTCTGTTCTAAACCAAGAGTAGCTTCAGAGTCATCTTCGTCATCATCATCTCCCTTCTTCATGAACGCCTCATCCACAGGAACAAGCTCTCTGGCAAGCTGTCTGTCATCCTCATCGACAGCCAGCCACCGTTTGCAAGGAAAGAAGTACCTAAAATATATATGCCAGGATACATAACTTTTCCATGTCAAAAAATTTGTTTAAAATATTTCCCACTTCACACCACACAGTGGTGCTCTAGCACACACGCAGAGGCTCTGTCTGCTATGTAGGATGGGGATTTTTTGTGAACCCTTTGTGTTTCTGAATTTGTGTCTAGTATGACTCAGCAAAGTGCAAATTTGCTTTCTCCATTAAGGGGTCCGTTAAACATATAACATCAATGTGCTGGTGACATACGTGGTGTCATCTTTGTTGTCCACAATCTCCACTCTGTCCAAAAACCAGCCGGCGCTGGCCTGGCTGTTGTCATGGCGGATCCTCAGCTTCTTCAGGGTCCCCAGGTCGACTGCAGAGATGTCGAAAACGTCCTCCTACGTCGCCCGCCAACAAGCCCGGTGACAAAGGGTCAAGAGATGCCACAGGTTAGCGGACCATGAGAACCTCATCACTTATTCATCTGATCTTTGTTTAACCCAGAAGGCTACCGAAGCCAAACATTTGTTTGATGAGAGACTTTGCCAGGAAAACAGTATCAATTACAGCAATCCTGACAATGCCAGTGGATTAAACACATCCATGACGGCATTATAAAAACATCAACATGAGATTTAGCATTTTAATAAGGCTGATTTTTAGGCCTTGGTCAGGTCGGGCTGCCTGTTTCCCCCATATACAAAGTCTCTGCAAAGCCAATGCAATATCCTTCATGGACAGACATGGTAGTGATATCCATATTCTCCTTTAACTCTTTGCAAAATGTCAATACATGAGTCAGTGCGATTCAGTTTTCTTTATATAACACTAAGTCACAATAACAGTCACCTCAAGGCTCTTTAAATTGTAAGGTAGAGATCCTATAACAGATGATCCCCTATGAGCAAGCACTTGGCAACAGTGGGAATGAAAAACTCCCTTTTAACAGGAGAAAAACTCCAGCTAAACCAGGCTTAGTGAGAGGGAGTCAATACCACGACTGGTTGGGGGTGAAGGGAGGAAGACAGGAAAAATCAAGAGTTAACAAATTGATTTCCTTCGGATTTTCAGCAAACCGGGTTTACCTGGCCTTTCTCAAATTTGTTTAGGTTGTTGGATTTCTTGAGGTGTCGCTCTCCCGTGTCGCCTGTCTCTCCGTAGATGTTGATGTACACATTGGCATCTGTCCCTGCCCCCCACATCGTCCCAGTGAACACATGTATCTCATAGGAGTTCACTGTCGGAGAAACACAGTAAATCATCAGCGACATTATGAAAATGCACATGAGGGCATTGGCTTGATTTTCAGGCTCACGGGCTTCAGCAGCAGATATCAGTGAGTCAACATGACCACATTCATGCTCTACTTACTCTCCAAGTCGTCATTATCCTCAGTCAGCAGCTCAACCACAATCTCCCTGTCCTCCTCATCCCTGGCTAGCCAGCGGTTACAAGGAAAAATAAATGTCTCCACCACTTCCTGCAGCTCTTCAATTATCTCCACCTCCTCCTCCTCTTCCTTCTTCTTCTTTTTCTTATCTTTCTTCTTGTCCTTTTTGCTCGTCTCTTCTTTCTTCACCTCAACCTGCACCATAGCCATCGTCAGGCGCTTGATGTCCACAGTCTCCAGAAACCATCCGTCTCCAATACCCTTCCCGTTGTGGTAGATACGTATCTTATAGATCTTACCAACATCCTGAGCCTCAATCTGGGTTGCAGACATGAAACAAAAGTCAAACCAGCAACTCAAATCTCTGACAGACGTTGACATAACCTAAGCAGTATTAATACAGACCTTAAAGATGTCAGTGGTGTCACGTTCAAAACTGTTGGAGCGACTTTTTAGAGGCAGAACTTCAGTTTTTCCTTCATATCCATAGATCTGACAGAAGACTTTGGCGTTAGTTCCACCTGCACGCACGTCACCTGTGACTACTGTCACTTCATAGTTGATCACTGTTATAGGCAAAAGGATTAAGCATTATGAGAAGCAGTGTATCTCAACCTATCACTTTAAAAATGATTAATTCTGGCTGTGCAAACAGTTTTTTGCTTTTGTGCCATTTACATTGTTCAATGTCCAACGTCTCGCTGGGATAGAGCTCCACCTCCACCTTTCCATCAGCTTCATCTTTACAGAGCCACCTGTGACTTGGGAACATGTACTGCTTTCCGTGAACCGGCACAGAGATCTGCACGCTGTCCAGAAACCACCCGGCCCGCAGTCCCTCGTTGGTGTGACCTATCAGAAGTCGGTTGATCTGCAAGCATCAGAAAGCACACAGGCAAAAAGAAACATAAATAAATGTCTTGATGTCTGTCTAATTACATGTAGTACAAGTCTTGCAAACTTACCTTCCCGATGTCAGAGGTTTCGAAGGTAAAGATATCCGTGCGACCTGTCTCAAAGTAGTTCCTGAGATCATTGTCGGAGACTGCTAATATCACCTTGCTAGTATCACCCTTCTCCCCATACAGCTTGACGAACACCTTGGAGTCCGAGCTGGCCCCGTTCACACTGCCTGTCTTGATTGCTATCTGGTAGCTGACATCTGAGGAGTGAAAACAATCGGTTTAAAAAACTGATGTATGCCCACAAAACTGGGCTTTTTAAAATGTTCTTGTGTACTCACTGAAGAGACGCAGGCCGTCTCCCGCTGGAACTAACTCACGGACAATCTGTCCATCATCCTCATTACGGTCCAACCACCTGAAGAAAAACACACATGTAAATGTACCTCAATGGCGTAAAAACAGAATCAGAGGAGCCTTCCTACACACTTAGAAAATCCCTGGAAATGGAAATATTAAAAAGATGACATAATATTTATGTATTCATAACTTCACTGGAAGAATGATGCTATAGGACTGACAGAACCTCTGAAGCCACTGAACAATAAGAAGAGGAAAGAAGAGGAAACAGACAGAACATGATATTAACTGACTTACATTTTAACGGTTACATTTTCCAGATTAAAATCCCAATCATTAACTTAATAATTACAAAACATTTAAGTGGCCTAACATTATTCATGTAACAATTTCCACACTGAAAGTGGGAATCAATTTTCCCTGACTGCCAAATCAAACAGACAGGAGGAGGTAACACTGCACCTCAGCCTTGTGGTTTTGGCACCACTATTAGAAGCACAGAGCTGGCCACATTCATTTAGTCTCCATTTGTAATGGCACACTCGTCCATCAGCTGCCTAACTATTTACACGCAAGCCACTGGAGAGCTAGTGAAGGTAAGAGCGGTCAATTTACAACACTTAAGAGAGATTTTGAGCTGGTGGGAGGATTTTGTCTGACTGGATTCTGTCTGTGTTGGTTTCAGAAGAAAGTGGACACTACAAAATGTATGCAATTTCTGTATATAAAACATATATAAATATGTATGTAACATACAAAGTAAATAATTTTACACTTCTTGTGAAAAGATTGACATCCATCCATCCTCTTAGTCAATTCAATGTCGCCGGGGGGGCTGGAACCTATCCCAGCTGACTTTGTCAGAGAGGTAAGGTACACCCTGGATAGGTCGCTAGTCTGTCGCAGAGCTAACACATAGAGACAAACAACCATTCGCACTCACATTCACACCTATGGGCAATTTAGATTTACCAGTTAGCCTAACCCCACTAACTGCATGTCTTTGGACTGTGGGAGGAAGCCGGAGTACCGGAGAGGATCCACTGAAGAATCTGAAGATGCTAATTTAACTGGGACTGATCAGGATGAACACAATTAGAAATTAGTATATCTCAGGGTCTCAGGTTGAGTAGTTTGGAGGCAAAGTGAGGAGGCATAGTGGGTATACTGGACATACGTTGAATACTGAGCGGCCAAGCAGGAGCGAAAGAGGAAAACTACAGAGGAGGTTCAGAGAAGCAGTGAAGAAGGACGTGTAGCGGGTTGATGTACCAGAGGAAGATGGGAGGGATAGGGTGAGTTGGAGGCAGATGGTCCTCTGTGGTGAGCCCTAAAGAGAACAGCCGAAAAGAGAAGATGACTGTATGCTAACTAAAGCTCCAGCCAACGATTGGTTAACTTAACCTAGCATAAAAACAGGAAACAGGAGAAAACTGCTAGGCCACTGTCCAAAGTTCAAACCTGAGGAGTTCTGTTAAGTGATTTTTAATAGTGTCAAGCATCCTGCTGCTTCTAGTGCTTTTAGTTTAAGATTTAGCATATAGTGGCAATGAAATTAATAATCTGCAAAGAAACCATGTCTGTGAGAGCATTTGAGTTATTTGGAAACTATTGTCTTGCCTGTAACAAGGAAATTCAATGGCCATACTCTCTGGCTGGCCTTCCTCCCTGACCATCACCTTATCGAGGTACCAACCGCAGCCTCCACCACGGCCGTCATGACCCACACGGACCCTGCGCACCTGGCCCAAGGATACGGACTCAATGAGAAACTCATCGTGCTGAGGGAAGAGAAAGAGACAGCCATGTAAAGATGCTTGCTGTGCATTTCACACATATTTACTTAATTATTGGCTTCATTCTTGTTTATTAATACACTCACGTTTCCCTTTTCAAATTTGTTAACGTTGTTTTTGCTCATAATCATGAGTCGATCCCCCGTCTCACCTAGGTCACCAATAACATTGAGGAAGACGGTGGCATCGGTGCCACTGCCACTGACATTTCCTGTGCAGATGGTGACTCTGTACTTAATCACTGAAGAAACAAAGAGAGAGTAAAGGAGCTACATTCACTCAAGACATACTGTTTGTAATTGACTGTGAACATGGAGTCTGAACATCTGCAGAGTGTTCTGCAGAGCCCTCTTACAGGGCAGCGGCTCATCAATAAGTACTCCTGTCGCTGGAAGCTCTCTGACAATCTCATTGTCATCCTCGTTGATGTCCAGCCAACGGCCGCATTCAAAAGAATATTTCTCCATGGTTAGCGTCTTGAGCAAGGTGACCTGCAGAAAATCATAATTTGGTTCATAATATTCCTTTCAAACAGGACTGCAGCAATGACAGCATCTAAACTGCTCAAAAAAAGAAAGAAATAAAGGAATTCTTTGAAAACACATCAGATCTCAAAGGGAAACAAAAGTCTTGCTGGATATCTATACTGATATGGCCCTGTCCAGCTCTTCTAGAGTCCCTGTCTCTTCCTTGCTCTTGAGGCTGTGCTGGGAGACACAGCAAACCTTCTCACAATGGCATGCATTGATGTGCCATCCTGGATGAGATGGACGCCTTGTGCAACCTCTGTAGGATCCATGTATGACCTCATGCTAACAGCAGCGACACTGAACCTAGCCAATGCAAAATTAGTGAAAAAACAGCCAGAAAAGATGAGGAGGAAAAACGTCAACCTCTCCAACTGTTAATTTCATTAACACCAAAACAGCTGAAGCTGATGAGATCGGCTTCAAGGTACATTGTTTACTATTTCAATACATAATAGCATGCTAGCATTTGTCAGATAAAGTTGAAGATATAAAGTTAAAGCAATCTTTAAGGTTTCACTTAATAGTTGTCAAAGCACGGGAATCAACAAAGTCCAAAGGCAAACATTCCCAAACAATTGCTGAGATAGTTCACACCGGAGCGAAGTGTTGAACTGGTCCAAAGACTTCAACATCCACAGTACAAGTAACACTTGCTCAGTGCCAGATTCAACGAGGTGACCCTGTACAACAGACTTAACAGCTTATACTGACAATTTTTTCACCTTTCCTAAATGCCAGCCAGCGAATGGATGTCTCTTCTCGTGCCAGATCCGCAGTTTCAGCAGTCTCCCAATGTCTGGCATTTCAATCTACAATTATCCCCAAATGTAAAATAAGAATGGATAGTTTAGGAAAAAAGTTTCTTTGACAGACTTTATGATTATTGTGCTAAATGAACAATAGATGAAGCTGTTTTATTCACCTTATCAGGTGAACTCAAGACTTACTTACCATGAATTTATCAACCTGGCCTTGTTCAAAACTGTCCGAGTTGTTTTCTAGTTTCATTTCATCAGACTTGCCCTTCTCTCCATAGATCTGCAGAAATACCTGGGCATCTGTCCCTGCCCCTTTTACATCTGAGGTCCAAATCCACAGCGACCATGGGTACTCTAAATGGAAACAGAGTAAGTGTGACACTAAAGTACATATAGAAGATTTATGTTTTGATGTTTTATTCACTGAGTAAAGCAGAATGAAGACACCCACTCATCTGTTTTTTCTGCCTGAGAGAGACCATCTCATAGAGCTCCCTCTCAATCAGCCCATCTCCCTCATCCTCATCCAGCCACATCCCACACGGAAACGTCTGCTCTATCCCCGTGAACGGACAGTATATAACCACCTGGATGAGAAATGGTTGATGGATGTATGACACTTTGAGAAGTGATCTGTTCATACTTAAGAAAAAGAAAAAAAATACCTTTTCACAGTACCATCCAGCACCAACTGCGCCATTGTCGTGCCCGATGGTGACCCTGCTGAGTGGGCTCATCAGTTCACAGATCTCCACATTGAAGATGTCGATGAGACCGCGCTCAAAAGCCCCACCTTCAAGGAAGACTTTGCCGCTGTTTTTTATGCCCTTAGCTCCATGCATCACTATGTGGATCTTAGAGTTGGTCCCCGCACCCCTCACGTTTCCAGTCATCACTTGGACATTGTACACAATTCCTAAGGAGCGACAGGAAAATGCACGACACATTTTTGGTCCAAAGTGTTAACACTGAAATTAACATTGGCATCATCATCATCACACCAGTAGTCTCTTCTAGCTCCTGATGTCCTCTTGACTTATTTAGTAGCTAAATGCTCCACTACATTGACTAAGCACCCAGTGTCACACCTGAGAAAAGAATGTGCAGTACATTTTTAGAGCTATAAACTCTATTGAAAAAAGCAGGTGAACCTGGTATATTTTACTGTTCATATAGGTCCACCACTAACAGTGTTCCCTTTAAAAGTTTCTCAGGAGTTTATGGTTTGTTTGTTTTTTTCTTTATACCTACAGTGACATCAAACAGTAAGGTGAGTCAACTCTAAGGGTTCAGGACATAATGAAAACAATCTGGTCTTTAGCAAGTCTTAAATTTAGGCCAGCACAATCAAATGATCAACCAAACATGGCATATTACACAGTGTCATTACTTATTTTTTAAGGGGAAAAAAACCAAAATGCAGTCCACCCTCACTGCTTCGATTAGGATTAGGAGGGTGATGAAATGCACTTGATTTATTGATCATTAGCTATTGTGATCACGTCTATAAAGGCAGAGGTTTAGTCAGTGTGCTGGTCAGGAACAGTGAGGGGTGTGTTAACACAAAGCCAAGGAGGAAAGACATTAGCAACGATCTTAAAGAATCAGTTGTTGCTGTTTAGCTGGGTATTTATGAATAATTTAAAGCCCATCATTCGACAGTGGGAAAGATTATTCACAAATAGAAAGACAGTTGCCAGGTGGAAATTACAGTAAAAATCCCCTCTTGGTAAGACTGCTGTGCTCAGAGAAGCAGCAGAAACCCAAGAGCTACATCACAGACTCTGCAGACCTCAGTTAGCATGTTAAATATTTAAGACTAAACAAGTATTGTTTGTTTGAAGAGGCTGTCAGGAGAAAGTATTTTCTCTCTAAAAAGAACATGACAGCGTAGCTAAGGTTTACAAAGTAGCATCTGAACAAACCACAAAACCTCTGGTACAATGTTCTCTCGAGACCAAAGTGAAGCTGTTTGGCCTTAATGCACAGAGGCACGTTTGGCAACAACCAAACACAGCAGATCAGCGCAAATGCCTCCTACCAACTGCCAAACACGGTGGTGGAAGGTTCATGATTTGTTTTTGCAGCTACAGGACCTGAACACTTTGTACTCATGGAGTTGATTGCAAACTCATCTATACACCAAAGAATAGTCTCATGTGACACCATCTGTCTAAGAGCTAAAGCCTGGCTGAAACTGTGTCATGCAATAAGGGAAAGATTCCAAGCAGAACAGCAAATGTAAAACAGAATAGCTAAAAGAAAAAACAAACTGGTAAGACCTGGTAAGGACTAGATCACTTTTTATTATGTCCTGATATGTAAAATCTGAAAATGGACATAGTGTCTACTGTCTTTTTCTGCTCTTTTCCACAGCATGTCTTTTAACCTGTTTTCCTTCTCTCACCCCAGCTGGTCGCAGCAGATGGCCGCCCCTCTGTGTCTGGTTCTGCTGAGGGTTGCTTCCTGTTAAAAGAGTTTTTCCTTCCCACTGTTGCCAAAGTACTCGCTCATAGGGGGTCACATGATTGTGGGGTTTTTTCTCTGTATGTATTATTGTAGGGTCTACCTTACGATATAAAGCGCCTTGAGGCAACTGTCGTTGTGATGTGGAGCTGTGTAAATAAAATTGAATTGAATTGAATTTTTGCCATGACTGTTTACATGCTCTCCAATGTGAATGGATTTTCGTAGAATTTCAATATTTGATCTAAAAAACCTCTACATGGGAATAGAAATACTTGTCAGCATTTGCAGTTGTAACAGGGCTGTTAAAATTCTTCAAATTTAGAGATGTTACGAATTTGAAAAACTGGCCTTTTAGCCAACTGTCTCCACAGACTTTGAGCTTTATACATTGGTCCAAAAAGTCCATTTATATTTTAATATTATCCACAGTGATTTTGCATCAATTTGAACTATTTGCAATTTCAGTTACCCTCGAAAAAATTGGTTCCAACAGTTTTTTTCTCACCCATTGGCTGCGTGGCTCCAACCAACACATCTCTCTGTATTTTGCCATCACCTTCATCCAAGGCAAACCAGTTATACACCGGGAATTCGTACAATTCTTTGTTACCCATGTCATCTATTACCACCTACACAGGAACATTACACACTATCATCAGCGTTTTGTATATATATATGTACACATCTGAGCAGATTGCGTGTGCTGGTTTACATGCCTTATCCAGAAACCATCCAGCTGAAGAGCCTCTGTTGTTGTGACCTATAGTGATTTTCTTCAGCCTCCCGAGGTTTGGGGCCTCTATTGTAAACTTGTCCTCTGACCCACGTTCAAAGTTGTCTTTGTCACTGTCCAGTCTTCTCTCCCCTTTGATAATAAACACACAGTTTATAGCAAACACACACACACACACACACAATAACCACGTATGTCATTGCAAATCTTACCAGTGATCATGGTTTAATGTACCAAATGTTGAACACTTTCTGGCTTTAGCTTAATAACTATGAAGATTTCACACAGTTACTTCTGTTTGTGTAACTGTACATTTACAGTATTATCTTTCTAATTTTATTACTTTGTACAGCTTTACATTTTTTTGTCAACCATATTAAAAAAAACCTTTGTTCCCACCCTACCTGTGTCACCGTTCTCTCCAAAAATATTCAGGAAGACATCAGCATCGGTTCCACTTCCCTTCATATCAGCAGTAAACACGCTCACTATATATTTATTCACTGCAGAACATGGGACATAAAACAAGTCAAGCAATCTGAAGGGTATGTAAGTAGCACATAGCAGTCTCTTCGACACTCAGATGGCTTCCATTTTAAATATTCATAACAGTGCGTGTCTGTTCATTACAGTTATATTGCTGTGACCACTCCCTCACCGCACAGCACCCTTGTGTCTTTACGTGAGCCTCAGGTTCACAGTGCTTTGCTTGATTGGCTACAGTCGCTTTAATGCTAGATCACATTGCCACAGAGGACACATGGGCTGTACCTGAGGATTACACTCTAGTGGAATTCAATGACAGCCTGAAACTCTATCTAAAACACTAAGCTATCGAGCACTGGTTGTGTGCAACTGGCCAGACACATGGCTCTAACACATAAAAAACATCAGACGTAGTTCTCATTTAGAAAAATAAATATTTAAAATGATTGTCCACTTTGAGTGGTAGAGACCAGAGTGCTTTCTAGAGGCATTACATAATATTTGGCTTTTAGACATCTTATTACAAGAGTCAACCATTTCTAATCCCCGGGGTTTCTCTGACATGTGGAGAAGGTATTTAGGACTGTTATTTTGTTTTAACCTCTGTGAACATTTTGGTCTGCTTATTATTACAGGTTTGTCCCGGATTGACCTACATTTCGGGACGTCCATGGGGTTCATGCTGCCCAGCAGGTCCCTGACAAACAGGTTGTCGCCCTCCTCCCGACTCAGCCAGTTGTTGCAGGCAAAATAAAAGCGCAGATGGGGTCGGTTCATGTCAGTCACCACCACTCTATCCAAGAACCAGCTGGCACTCATCCCTGTGTTGTCGTGCTCGATCCTGAGGAAATCAGCAGAGTCAGAGAGAGACACGAATGCAGCCTGGAGGTAATATCAGATCACATCTCATTTGTTTTTTATTTTAAATGTCTGTTTGAATGCCTTCAGTGTTTAATACTATACAACAATGGTTGTTGTGTTTAAGTATTGCAGCTCACACTATCAGACACTGAAAATGAATACGATGGGGTAGAATAACAAAATGAATAATGCACTCCCATGTCAAATCTAGAAATCTACACTATGTAGATAAAAATACCAAGCCACCTACACATTACAACAACGGGAGCTGCTTATCCATAGAAACACATGGTGTGAAGCTCCTGGTGCACAATTTGTGTGCTGATGTTATTGCCACAGGAGGTTTAGAGCTCTGCTGGCATTAGTTAGTGACTTCCTTTGTCTCGGGATGCTTGATTAGTTTCAGCTGTGTCTTATTACCCTTATGGTTCCCATCTCCCCGATTATCTCTTCTGTGTATTTAAAGCCTCAGTTTGCTTGTGTTCCTTGTTGTGTTGTCCTATCGCCTGCTGGTCTACATCCAGCATGTTTCCTGGACTTATTATCTTTGTAGTTTGGGCTTGTCTTTGTTTTGTTTTGTTTTTATCTGTAGATCTTTATTGGCCAGATAAACAGCTTACTTGTGTTGATCTTTGCCTCCCTGTGTATTTGCATTTGGGTCCCCACCTCAGCCCACTTCAATATATATGACAGCACTTTCATTACAGTAAGGATTCACACTGCCCTGGCAATGTCTACAACAGGAGAAGCTTTATTAAATTCTAGTTTGGCCAAATAATCCCCGCACATAATCTCCTTACCATTTTTAGCTTTTTCCAGAGTTTTGAACTGTATTGCTTTTTTCTACAGCAAATGTTGAATTATTCACATGCAATTTGAGTAGCCCTTAGAATTTTAAGTTCTTCTTAAAATGTCTTAAGCTGATTTGCCTTGACCTTGAAAAAAAAAAAAGCAAATAGGTAGACCTTGACCGAGGATCGTCTCCATAACAGGTAAGAAAACTGTGTCTGGCATGCTAGAAAAAGAAACAAAGTTTTAAATCAGAATGCAACATTATTCTTTTAGCAAATCCTGACAATTCAGCATGTTTAAATCTTGGGGCCTGTTTTCAGAGGTCATGTCTTGTGGCTGCGATGTAACTCTGTGTCTTTCTCTCTAGAGGAGACAAACTTCACACATCAGATGGGGCTTAACCTTCTGTCACTGGATGAAATCCTTTGATGGCCCGCCGCACAGCGAGAAATGTTCCTGTGGGATCCTCTTAGTAAGCTGCTGTTATGCTGTGTGAGGAATGCTCAACTATGAAGCAGAAATTGTGATGTTGTCAGTGACCTGTAGTTGTGCATTCTGGGTATTTAATCCAGACACAGTAATGGGGTATTTAAAGCGCAGTGCATACATGTCAGTTTTTATATGAGTTATCACAGTCGACTATTAGCGATACACTACCTCAGTTTCTTTAGAGGCCCCACGTTGTGTGTTTTGATTCGGAAAACATCCGTCTTATTCTTCTCAAATGCAGTCCGGCTTCTGGAAAATGTCAAAATGTGAATAATATCAGTACAATGCTCTGAATGTCCCAGTCTAGAGACCCAGAGACACGTGACCTAAACTCTGGAACAGTAAATCGTATCCCCCTTAATGACGCAGATTTAGGGTACCCTGGTTGTCTCGTGGCAGAGGTATAATCTGAAACCTTCACCTCTCCTGCTTCCTCCTCAAGTACATTCACCCCCTCCCGGAGTCGAACCAGGCCCATGAGCACACCAGACCCCCCTCTGCCCAACGCCGTGAATCAGACACCCTCTTTTCCATTAACAGAGAATACCTGCCTTTGTGTCTGACCCATATCTCCATCTGTTCTCATCTTCCTGCAACATTCAGTGGACAGACAATGCCAAGGCTCACAAAATAAGGTGCACAGTGTCATCATACTGCAACAAACTGCCAAGATTGAAATACTGTACAACACACATGAATACATGCCCTCATTCTCAATGTCAAATCACCTGCAAGAGAATGAAGGTGAGAAACTGATTATCCGGTGGAAGGGTGGAGAAAACTCACAGCAAACTTTGGAATTCATGCAATTTGAACGTGTTTTATAATTACACTGAATTTCCAAAGAGTTGCATTTTTAATCTGCCTCACTGATCAGTGGGGCAAATATTCTCGGAGACATAGCAACCCTCCCTTACCTGTATCATGCTGTTAAAGTTTCCAGTGACGATAACACAATACAGGCAGGACCTAACTTATATTGGAGTAAGGTGAAACTCCTTACAATGCAGTTTGTTTAATATGTCACCAAAAGGGGCTCCTGAACATCTGTGTGTGTGTGCGTGTGTGTGCGTGTGTGTGCGTGTGTGTGCGTGTGTGTGCGTGCGTGTGCGTGCGTGTGTGTGCGTGTGTGTGTAGCTCATCGGCTGAGCAACACTACAGTCACACAGCAGATAGACAGTAAATGCAAAGGATGTGGACGCCGTCTGAAGTGGATGGGTGAGACCACCACAAGGTGTGGGTGACATGGTCCAGAGTGGCTGACAGTAACATGGTATATCTGTTACGCTTCACAGGTAATCCTATCTGTCAATCAATGTGTGCAGAGATAAAGGAAGCCTGCTGCTAAGATCCCCTGAGAGTCATTTGATCGTCCCCAGAAATGACATCGTGGTCTTCTTTCATTTATCTCTAAATGGAAATGAAGACCAGCCATGTCACATAGTTCCTCCTTACTCCAGATATCCTGTGTCCAACACTTAATGCACTGTATATAAGAGACATTCCCATTTACCAACAAACCTCTGCTCTGTTGTCTGACGTCAAAGAATTTACTGGTTAATATCTTTTTTAATGGCTGGTGTGCAAACTCATTTTATCTTGCATCACTGGTTCTTTGGACATCAGGTTTTGATGTTAAACAGGAATTCTCTCACATACAGTGTTATATTGACAATACAAGCCAACACAAGGACAGGATCATAAGCATCATTTTACAGTTTGATTAAATAAAAAATACCTCTTTTCTGTGCTGAAGGAATGGAGAAGAATAGAAAAGATTAAAAAGTCAACAACTGACATTGAAAAGGTGCTAAACTGGCATAACAAACTGAAAAAGGACGTATTAAACATCATATGATGGTGAAACAGAGTAAGTCACTTAGATCTGATTTAAACAAACGAAAAAAAGCATATTCATCAAACGAATTCAAGAACACCACCAAAAGCCCTTTTAAACTCACTTGCTTGCCAGGTGGACCTTGGGTGTGACGCCAAAGTCTCCAAAAAGGGTAACAAATACATTTGCATCTGTCCCAGCTCCTTTAACATCACCAGTGACAGTAACTACCTCGTACACTGGAAGAGAGAGGAGAAGGGAGAAGAGAATAAAAGGGAAAATACAATCTGAAATACAGTCACAAATTACATTATATCTAATACGAAAACTTAATGAATAATCACTTGAACCAAAGGACGAACACAAAGTCACATCCTCAGTGTCCAATAATCTATAAACATTATGGAGCATTATGTTTCCTTCCATGCACAGTTGCCAGGGAATTCAATGAGGCGAAACTGCAATGAATCCATGTCTGGCATTATACACCAGCCAATCCTCTCTCACATTTCACCCGTCTGTAAAATCTACCTGAGGTGGTGACATTCACATCGTTTGCATGGAGGAGAAGAGAGGACGAATCAAACTAAGAAAAAAATCAAGTCGTGCAGAAAATAAATCCTAATGACTGCTGATCGCTCGACTTCTACTCAAGAAACACCCTTTCAATTTGTGGGTTATTATGAAGTACGGTACGGGATAAGTGGTGGCAGCATTTAAGTTCCTTCTGTTTTACATTCATATTCATTAGCAGATCAAAATAACTATTTTCCTAAAAGTAATACTTTGGTTTAATCCATGAAAAAAGTTTTAGTGTTTTGGAGCTTTAGAGTAACAATCTAAACAAAAATCTGTTTAGAATTTTGTCCCACTTTTCTTCACTCCATTGATGTTTGTGGACATTTGTTTATGCTCAGCTTTCTTATGGTCCAGCATCTCAATCAGGTTGATGTCTGGACTTTCACTGAGCCATTGTAATACCTTAATTAGTTTCTTTTTCAGTCAGTCTGTTGGGCAAAGCTTTAGCTGTCCAATAGATGGCCTAATATTTGACTGTAGAATACTTTGATAAACAGAGGGGTTCACGGTTGACTCAAAGACTGCATGGTGCCAAGGTCCTACAGCTGCAGAACGAGCCCAAATGATCACCCCTCCACCACCATGCTTCACAGTTGGTTTGAGGTGTTTGTGCTTATATGCTGTGTTTGGTTTTTGCCATAAATGGTGCGATTAATTATGACCACTTTGGACATTGTTACAGAAGTTCTTTGGTTCGTTCAGATGCAACGCTGCAAACCTAAGCTGTGCTGCCATGTTGGTTAGACGGAAGAATCTTTCTCCTGGCAAACCTTCCAAACAAGCCATACATGTTCAGTCTTTTTGTACTTGAGCTGTCATGAAATTTAACATTTACATTTAAACCGTGGCCTGCAGAGTCTGGAATGATAGCATTATGTTAGCACACAACACACCTACATGCTCCAGACCAGCAAAATGCAAAAATGTCTGCGTTTATAGAGGTACTCAGACTACATACATATGAGATAGTAAAGTGACTGGTTCTTAACTCTTTTCTACATGTTTATATGACAGGCCTAATTCACCCAAGCGCTTTGTTATGCTTTGTATTTAACATTCACACTCTTACGGATGATTATTACGTTGCCCCTACTGAGGCATCCAGGGATAAAATGAGATGACCTGTCCTATCTCCTGAGCTACAGCTGGAGTTGGTGGATAAGGAGCTGTTTCGAGAATGTCCTGCTGCCTCTGCAGGGTACCTACTGTCTCTTTCCTTTGCACCAAAGCAGATAAAATAAATTCACAATGGTTAGTGCTTTCTAACTGGTTGGACTGATATCCCTGAAATTAAGTGGCTTTGTGTTATCGAGCGTTCCCTTCATTTTTAGTATATAGGACTACAAAACTAGACTAAAGTGAATCTGACATATATGCTGCAGGGTGTCCACTGTTCTAGGTAAATGTTAAAAAAGCCAGTTTGAGGTGTCATATGAAATAAAACTAAATACTAAGGATAAATGCATAAGAAGGCTAGACAGCAAGAGAATATCTTAAACCTTCTAGAAGATGGAGAGAGGAAATGTACAGATCTGATAAAGGAGCAATTTGATCAAAGTCAATCTGATACCTAATTAACAGTGAGGGGAGCTATTAAACCCAGCTTAAGGAGAAAGAGAGACACCTGATAAAATCAGATAGACAGTGGCCTGGTAAAACTCAACCATGATAATCTCCTTGGAGTGTCAGAAACCTGAGTGGGTCAGTTAGGTAACAAAGATGTTCTCACTGTAGAGGTGTATCACAGCTACAAATACTTAATGTTCCTTTTATAATCTGCAAGATGATCAAGAGCTTCAAGTAAATCATTAACTATATAAAGTCAGTTTTATGGAGGTTTTTATGTGGAAACACATAAATAATGTAATTGAATGTAATAGACACATTATGATGTTGCAGTGTTGCATGTCTTGTAAGCTCTTGCAAACACGTTCAGAAATGTAAAAAAACAAAAAAACAAAAAACTGAAACAAAGCAAAACTTCTTTTGGGGCAAAAGTACTAAATCTGTGCCTTTCCCAAGGTTGTTTGAATATATATCCAGCAAGATATATATGGGGAAAAGTGCTTGTGCATGTGTATGTGTGTTTGTGTGTTTGTGTCTGGAGCACTGAAGCACAGTAAAAAAGCATTATATAAGAGCCAGTCCATTTACCATTTAGGAGTCTGCTCAATTCTTCATTCTGCAAATAGCTTCCACTGTAAAAAGTTCACAAGAAGGACAAGAAGGAATAAAGGGGCTTTTGAGCTTGACCTTTTGAACTATGACGCCATCTAATTAATTTCTCTCACTGGATGCACACAAAGAACATTGTGTTAGGATATTTATGATGACTGATAAACTGCGATAAATATTCTAGTAAGCATGTTTTATATTGGGTTATTTCATCAGCAGTACTCGTGAAAAGGCATTTTTAACCTAATCCTACTAACTGCATGTCTTTGGACAGCAGAAGGAAGCTGGAGTACCCATGCAAACATTGGAAGAACATGCAAACTTCACACAGAAAAGCTCCAGCCAGATTATGAATTTGAACCCTGGACCACTTTACCCTGAGGCACGCTACCCGCCTGGTTTTTGTTTTCAGCTAAACTGACAGAAATTTCTTTATCATCATCTTGTCCCCAACTGGTAACAGCAGATGCCACCCCTCCCTGAGCCTGGTTCTCCTGGAGGTTTCTTCCTGTTAAGACGGAGTTTTTCCTTTCCACTGTCACCAAACACTTGCTTATGGGCAGTGATCTGATTGTCGGGGTTTTCTCTGTATTATTGTAGCGTTTCTACCTTACAATATAAATCAGCTTGAGGCGACTATGCTATGATATTATGAGTGAATTGAATTGGTTTGTTTTCAGAATAAACAATGAAAACAATTTAAGTAGGAAACAATTCCAACATTGTGTCAAAAAGTCAATGATTTGCATGTCAAAAACCTGACTTGCAAGCTTAAATTGAATTCCATATCTGAAATCAGTGTAAAAAATAAGTCTAGTCTAGTCAGAGGATGCTTAAAATATGTTACATGACAAGAAAATCTTATGCTATTAACATCCATCCATTCGCGTCCGCTTATCCTGTTCAGGGTCGCGGGGGGCGCTGGAGCCTATCCCAGCTGTCATGGGGCGAGAGGCAGGGTACACCCTGGACAGGTCGCCAGTCTGTCGCAGGGCCAACACACAGAGACAGACAACCATTCGCACTCACATTCACTCGCACATTCACACCTATGGACAATTTGGATTAACCAATTAACCTATCCCCACAAGCTGCAAGTCTTTGGACGGTGGGAGGAAGCCGGAGTACCCGGAGAGAACCCACGCAAACACGGGGAGAACATGCAAACTCCACACAGAAAGACCCCGGCCTGATGGTGGAATTGAACTCAGGACCTTCTTGCTGTGCGGCAACAGTGTTAACCACTGTGCCACCGTGCTGCCCGTGCTATTAACATTATTAACAAAAAACACACAAAATAGTCCTGCAGAGTTGATTAACATCTTTCTGAGGGCCTCTGATCTGCTTTAAGAAAGCTCCTTTGACTCGCAGACCTGATTCTGGCCCCGGCTGTGCTCCCAGCCCCTGGGACTGGGATGGCACCCAGCACCTGTCTGCCCCCGAGCCACTGTTTGGCGTCATTCATGTAGAACATAACTGAGCTTTCACCCAGAACAATAACAGAGGGATTCCCCGGAGCGCTCCAGCTCAGTGCTGACAGAACTGGAGTCAAGGTTTGAGCAGCTGATACACTCCAACATATTGACTCAGATTTTTTATTTTAAAAGCAACATGTGAGGCTTCTCCATCTGCTCTGCAATCAGATGCTCTTACCTTTCTTTTTGAAGTATTCATCTTCATATCCATCGGATGAGTCTGTGTGGTAGTTCAGCAGTTCATTCTGGTAGATTTCAGAGTAGTCCACCTGTTTGCTTTTGGACTTTTTCCCCTTCTTCTTTTTATCTTCATCGCTGTCTGCTGGTCCCTTTTTTGCCTTCTTTTTCTTCTTTTTCTTTGTTTCCTCCTCCTCTTCCTGCTCCTCAATTAAAGGCTCCTCATCATCGTCATTGTGAGACTTTTTCTTTTTCTTGCCATCTTTGGACTTTTTATCTTTGGAACCCATCTCCACGTCCCCCTCCGGGTTCTCTGCAGAGGATTTCTTGTGCTTTTTCTTCTTTTCCTCCTTCACTCCCTCGGTCACTTCTTCTTTGAGTTTCTGTGATTTCTTCTTTTTGGTATTGGTTGAGGGATCATTGTTGTTCTGCTCACCCTCATCATCTTTGCCTTCAATCACAGCCTCAGCATCCTCGTCCTCATCTGCTTTCTTTTTCTTCTTTTTCTCTCGTCCCTTTCCCCCCTCTTTTTTAGCTTTCACGTTCTCTGAAAGCTCCTGATTCTCAGTGCTCTCGGAGCTCTTGTGTTTCTTCTGACTCTTCCCCCTTTTAGTGGTGTCCCCTCGGGTCAAACCGTTGCTCCTCTCCTTTGACTTTGGCTCAGTTTCCTCCACTTCGTCATCAACGTCTTCAGTTTCTCCTGAAGCTGTGGATTTTTTCTGTTTGGACGGCATCTTTTATTCATTCACTTCCCTGACCCTTAGTTTCGTAAGAGCTGCGTAGAGTTTCTAATGGTGTAAGACAATTCATTTGACCCTTGGCTGCAGAGATGCTCTGGGATCGTGGGGTCGGAGCAGCCACTGAGGACACACAGATGGAGGGATGACTGCCTGGACGTCTCCTACCTGGCCACACAGCCTGCAGACACACACACTCACACACACACAAACACACCATGCATACACACACATCACTCATGAAAAATTAGTGTCACTTCAGCACTCACATGACCCACAGGAGAAAGCCCTGTGAAAAAGGAGCCTTGCACAGACAACTTATCCTCTCTGCCACGGCACCCTGTATTATTCATGGTGTCAGGATCGCTTTACGGGCCGGGGGTGTCTCGCTTTTACCTGCAGTCACACTCATACAGACAGGACCACAGACACGCATGTACACATCCACACACACCCCTACACACACACACACACACACACACAACTTTACAATTACTTCTCTTTGTTTATTGTTGTATCAAGTGTGTCTAATTCACATTCACAGGGTAAAAGCAACTTCTAACTCTATGTAATACTCAGACAGCATTGATTTATTTTACTCAGTGCAACTTATAATGAACTCTAACAAAGGTAAGAGCAGCACGTTTTAGGAAATATGCTGCTTGTGAAAAGGCTATTGCTAGCCTGTCTCAGTCAGGAAAAAAAAGTACTGGCTCTGGCTGGTGTCTAGAAAAAATATATATATTTTTACAGTTTCTTCTTTATTTACAGACGAATCAAACACCATAAACAGCATATATAGTTATTTAAAAATAATCAAATCAGTTAAAAATTTAAAATCACTCTGATGTAATTTACAAATTGAAGTAAATGAGAACGTTTCTAGTTTTTGGACATTATTCATGATGCAAGTCAAAACCAAATAAATATATACATATATAATACCCCAAATAATACAGAAGAAATTTCCTCACATCATTTGCCCAGAAAAAAATACTATTTCTGTGGTGCTTTAATGATGGAGAACGGGAGGAACTATTGAATCTAAATTAAAAGTTAAATCATCTGCGGGTTAGCATCATTTTCCATATATCAGGGACTTATACAATAAATTATAAATAGAAATAAGAGAAATAAACTTAAGAAATAAATAATAATGACACCCTGTTTCATGAATAAGTTCCTTTGCATTGCTGTTGTATCTCTGCCTCACTGGCATACACATCTGTATTTGACAATGTGCCAAATCATCCCATTAGCCTTATTGCTGCCATCTGACACCTGATGATGCAGGCATCAAGGAGAAGGGCAGAGTTTGGTCATATTGGTCTTTCAACATCAGATTACCCAAAGATTGGTTGACAGCAAAGAGTCAAACCTCATTGGATTGCTTCACTGCACTTTTCCTCCCCAGGAGTTATTGTTTGTCTCTCGCCTGCCAAAATTTCAAACTTTTTTCTAATTCACATTCAGCTCAGCTGCCCTAAAATTTCAGTTTCACAGGTGTGTAATAATTTTTTTGAAAAATGCACCACTCAGCTACTTATACCTGTGAGTTGAGGACATGTATTTGTTTTAGCTAGCCTTTTTTCGCCTGTTCTTGAACAGAATCAACTTTTTAGGATAGCTGTGGAGTGCACATTGAGGCTGTGGTTTTACTAGTTTATTGTTTTACACTTTTTTTAATGCAGAGTTTTGATGCATGTTTTTATTCATGTGTGGTCACATTTTCACTTCACACAGCAGTGCATTCATTCACACTCTCATCCCAACACAAAATAATGAACATACAAGTGAAAATTCAGACAAGTTTATTTACAAGCACAGTAGCAGTATAAAGAATGATCCAGAGTCATTTAAGAAGCACTGTGTTATATATTACCTCCATTCTTTACACAGACCAGATCCCCTCTATTTCCACTCTTGCTCATTAACTGTGACTGTAGAGCAATTTAGCTCGAAACTTTTTGGTGCTCCATAAACACACAAAGAGTCTGTATAAAGACATGAAGGAAACAGCATTTTTTTTTAATCTTATTTGTAATGCATTTAAAGAAATAATGGACAAGTGCACAGCTGAGCATGAACAGAGGAGTGACTGAAAAGTAAAGTTACAGTCTCACAAGTGAAATAATTTGTTGCATACAACAAAACAAATAGAAAAACCTTTTATGACTTTCCAGTGTACCACAGTAGCATAATACATTTTTGGGGGTCATAAGTGAAAATGATACCACATCATCTCAGCCACTTTAACATATCCATCAATCTTTCTCCAAGCAAGAGTCTTGTGTACATCTCCAAAAGCACTGTGAGCTTCAGTTGAGGCTTAAGTGTAAACATAGGCTATATCAGTGATCGCTGAAGCAGGCACACACAAAGCCAAGTATAGAGTAAAGTCATGCAGAGCACTACGTGGTTATGAGTGGAGTTTACAGGGAGGGACTCCAGTAGAATACAAGCCATGAACTGCACATGAATTGCTTTACCTTAGTGTGCTAGGGTTGTGCTTGGATGAAAAGAGGCAAACTAAAAACGTTGTCTGCACATCATACAGAGGGATTCCATACCTCATAAGGCAATAAGGCTTAAGACATGAAAGACAGCGATAGGCTGGGTTGCTTTAAAAACTGGAAAGCCAAAAGTTCTGTGGAGTTGGTGTATTGCAAAATATTTTTCTAGCTTTCACCCTAATCTATGACACCCCACTCCTCCCCCAAAAAACGAAAAGAAAATCTTGCCTCTTTTCCACCAGAAATGATGAGAAATATTTGGAAATGGGAGAAAGAAGGCCGCGGAAAACAGGCCGTTTCAAGAGTGTTTTTAAAATATTCACCGAGGGAATATGGTGAATAGGAAATAGATTACAAAAGTAGACAACTGAATTTTACAGTTTGATTTTCTTTTCATATTTTTTAAAATATTAGCTGAATATTAAGGTTCAGACTTTGTTTTTTTGTTGTTTTTTTACACAAACATTAAAAGCTGCCACACCCACAGAGTGTCTGAGAAAAAGAGAGAAGAAGACGGGCTTAAATATCTGTGTGACCAAGTAGAAAAACAACACCTCTGTACAGCCGAGCCACTAGAAAACTCCACAGAAACAACATCACTATGAAGACCACTTTGTTCACATTAAAAACAAGCATCCAATGGTCTGACAGTCGGAGATAAGATGCTGGCAGAAGAGAAATCTTCAACATGTAGATGAGAGTGTCCCAAGGCCAACTCTGTTTGAACTGGGGTCAAAATAGTTGCCTGAACTGAGATTGCCGTGATGAAAACTGGCCTAAAGACAAATTAAAAGGTCAAATCTTGAGCAGTTGCATTAAAGCAAATTACTAATTAGAGTGAGGGATCATGCGCATGGCCCTGTGTGTACGTTGATGATCCCACGTGTATGCATGTGAATGAAGTTGAAAATTTCATGAGGCATTGCGTGAAAGCCCGGCCGTGGTTTGACGTTGTCATAGTAGTGGTGTGTGATGAAGATGCCAGAGGGGTTCATAGGAAACGCCCAGAAACCGTAGAGGTGGACCTCCTCGCACATCTCTAATGCGGCGGTGACTAGCATCAGGCCGCTGCTGAGCCGTTTGGCGCGGACGCCCTGCACCGCCCAGAAGCGCTGCACGTTAAGCAGATACTGCGGGTGGAAGAAGAACACACCTCTCTGGGAGTCAAAATCATCCAGCATATACTTAACTCTGAATGACACGTCGGTGTTGCGGGTGTTGTAGAACGCGGGTAGCACCACTGAGGAGTTTTCGTAATTCTGAAGGACGTCATAAAACGGCCTCCGCCATTTCTCCAGCTTCTGAAATCTGCAGAGAAAGTGATTCATGTGATAAAAGGAAAAGATCATTGGCAGAAGCTGAGCTAAAGAGGTGTTCTTTCTCAGACCCATATTTACAGTACCTCTCAGTTATAATGCTCGGGTTTATTGTCACCAGATCTGTTTTAGTCCCAACATCTGCTGAATATTTGTCATTAATGGGCGGTATGTTGCATCTGCAAAAAAAGGAAAATAACGTTTCACTAGAGTTTAATAATCATTTAGATTTGACTTGATATGTTTAAAAAGAGGCATGCTGAGGAGACAACCTGAAGAGCTGCACAAGTAATCATATAATAGTTTTAATAAGAAGTTGTTGGGGTATTTTTCTTTTTACAATAAATTACATAAATTGGTTAACCAACCAAAAATCCAGAAGAAAACACATTACACAAAAGGCATAAACTGATTTGCAGGTCATTAAGTGAAATCGGTATTGATCTCCTACCAGCCAGAATTGTGACTCCCACTATTCCTACTATCCTGATCTCAGTTTGTTATGTGCATAAAGCACACCTGTACACACAATCAGTTTCTATTATTCAAACCTGTCTGCCACCATGGGCAAGAACAACGACTCGTCAGAGGAGGTCAGAGACAAGATCGCACCATGTACAAGTCAGGAATGGGCTACGAGACCATCAGCAAGAAGCTTAGTGAGAAGGTGACAACTGCTGGTGCAATTATTAAGAAAAGAAAAAAATATAAAATCATAAAGTGATGAGAACCTACTTCCCTCAGTCAGAAGACTGAAAATGGGTCATGGGTCTTTCCGCGTGACAATGACCCAAAACAAACCACTAGGGAAAAGGAGTGGGGAAAGAAGAAGCACATTAAGGCCATGGAGTGGCCCAGCCAGTCTCCAGAACTCAGTCCTAGAAAATATATGGAGGGAGCTGAAGCTGCAAGTTGCCAAACAGCAGTCAAGAAATCTAAAGGATTTAGAGAGTTTCTATAAAGATGAAAACTGACCAGCTACAAGAAACGTATCGAGATACTTATCTCACTCAATGACGTGAAACTCAACTTATAACTTTTATGTAATGTTTTTTTTTCTTTATCTGTATCAAAATGAAACGACCATAAAAATTAGAAAGTGTTCATTTGTTTGTAAGTGAGCAAACTCATATATTCAGCAGGGGATCAATAATTATTTCCACCACTG